AGACATTGTCCAAGTGACTTCTTGAGATCCTTGGTTCAGGCATCTCTTTTTGTGTGTGTGTGTGGGGTGGGGGGTGGGAGGGGGGATTAACAGAATTATACAATTTCCTTGCCAAATTGTTTTTTTTTTAATCATTCGATTCAAGTGATTTTTTCAGCTTCATCATATGTTACCAACTCTATTTTCAATCATAAATTATGGGAGCATTTGTGATTAAGAATATAGTGGCCATTAGATATGCAAAAAATAATTCAAAGTGATTTGAACTTTGATTGATAGAATTTCTAGTTGGGCTGCAATTCCTCTTAGCGCTCTCTTGGTGCAATTGGAGATTGAAGAGTTTAGCAGGAAATTCTCCCAGCTGCTGTAAGAATTTTTATTCTTCTATGTGGTGATATTTTAATATTTTTAGTTATATTCTCTAATTTTTAGTAATTAATTTAATTGTCCAAGTAAATTTTGGTTTTTTATTGCAAAATGTTTACAGTCAAACGTCTGATTTTTATAAAGGTGAATATATATTTTATATTTTGAATAAACGACGATTAAATTATTCTTAACAACAAATTATTTGTATTTTCAATTTTTATCTACAGGAACAAATAAATATTGAAATTAAGGGTTTGTGATCTGCAAATATGAAGGTGAGCATTTATTTTGAGCATCTTTTGAAGCGCGTGGATTAGGAAAGCCAAACCGTAATAAATATTTTATATAAGCCAAAACAAGTCGTTGTTTAAATTAAGTAATTGCGACCTGTGAATTTGAATGTACAACTTTGAGCATCTCACCATTGATCTGAATTAGCAAACCAAACCCTGAATAATTACCAGCGAAGAATGATCAAAGAAGCTATGCATAAATATACAAGGCTCCAATCAGATTATTATCACAGGATCAAGATCATAAACACGCATGAAACTCTAGCTCTACAAATAAGATAGCTAATAATTACCTTATCCTTCATCATAGATGCCCTTCTTGACTAGTTTAGAAGAAAGAAAAGAAATAATTGCCAAACTAAAAGTCTAAATGACAAAAAAAACCACTACTTTACAAGTGAGTTGTGTAGAAGACAAATGCTTGCAAAACAAAATCAACCTGAAAGTACTCAATATATATATATACATTTACATATACATTTACATATACATATACATATATATATACATATATATAGATATATATACATATATATATATATTAAATCTATTAGTTGTAGCCTTGCAAAAATTTCTTTCTATTGGGAAAAAAAACTCACCCTGGTTTTAAACAGCACATAAGCAATGCCCTTTCCAATGCTTGTATTTGGATCTCTGATTACACGCACAGCTTCAACATTTGGTTCTGACCGGCTCAGGCCACAGAATAATTGGTACAGCTCTTCATCCTGGAGTGCCAGCAATATATATCAGACAGAGGGCTGATAAATTTTAAGAAAACAGAAACAACATGATTTTCAATGACAAATATATCCTCGACAAAAGAAAGCTAACCTTCACATCAAAAGGGATGTTGCCCACAAAAACTGTTCTCTTTCTATCATATAGCCGAGCAACACCTTTCATTTTCTTGCGAGGTGGACATGCCATATCAACACGGATATGATTTCCACCAATCTAAGTATAAATATTTATTATATCTTAAATACAGCAGCATACTAACAGTACAAACAAACACTATCCAAGCGAATCAATTTTAAATGTTTCTGCAAGCTATATACCTCTGTCATATTATTAGACAAAGCAGCATGGGCTGATTGCTCCTCTTTGAAGACAATGTAAGCATTCATGCTGTAAAGCGCCACTCAAATTTAAACTGGCAGTATATATACCCAATCCAACAATTTAAACATGTAAACATGTAAACATGTGCAGAAGTCTCGTGAAATGTTAGGCATGAAAGAGCCAAAAATAAATATATAACTTAGGTCCTCAGCTTATAATTCAAAAAGAACTTTCCGAAGATGAAGGTGATTTAAAATATGTTTTTGAATAAACATTATAGCCACTCCAATATAATCAAAACATGTGTTCAAAAGAAAAATATGTGTGAGCACTTGGTTGCACAATGACAACACTATCATAAAAATGAAATTTTGAATATCCAAGAAATTATCATCGGCTAGTTGAGAATCTATGGTACGGTCGTTATGTGACTGATAAAGCTTCATAAATTATAATTTTTGCTTTGAAAACTAGAATGAAGCAATATATAAACAGTTAGAGAAACAAATTCTATCATAAAGTTATATGCAACGGTAAACAAATCACAGCTATGGCATTATCAGACAAAAGGATGGGGAAACCATTATTATCCTTAGAATCCCATATAGATATATATATATATATATATATATATAGAGAGAGAGAGAGAGCGAGAGAGAGAGAGAGAGAGAGAGAGAGAGAGGAGAGATACAAACACACACACACACACACGAGTATTGCAAACTTTGAAAAGTATTAATCATTCATAATATTACAACAGTTAGCTAGAATTTATGCACCACGAATATGAAAATATAGATTTACTCATTGCATGAGCTCCAGCAATGCAGGGTCTAGTGAGGAGTTGATAAACACTGTTTTAAACCTAAATTTATGAAAAGGTTGGTCCCATGATTTGAACCGAGGTCCTTCCAATTGCAAAAATGCAACTAAATCATTGCTTAGGGCCAATCTATTCAATGAAGATGGCGATGTTATAGTTTTATGTATGGTAAGCATGAAAATATACTTGTTTACAACCATATTACATTTTTTTTTTCTTTTCAAGCCATAATAATTAGGAAACATGCAAAAAGACTTGTTAATTATCCAACATTGTCAATCACATTAAAAAATATCCAAAATATGCTAAATATATATTATATGATTGAAGAGTCATAAATCACATTAAAAACATCCCTAAAATTTAAAAAATACAATAGGAAATCAATTAATTATAAAACATATTAAAAATATTCATAAAAAGCTAAATTTATATTAGAGGGGTAACTCAACATACAAAAATCAGTCTAACAAAAGGATCGAGAAAAGGGGCTCATGCATTTAGCATTAATCTTGAATTACAAAAAGGTTATTTTCATGCTTTGGTTGTCATTTGATCGGAATGAAGGCAATCCAACTATTGCAGCAAAGCACATCTCCTTATGACTAACATACTATACGTGCATAACATTTT